ACTTCTGGGCAAGGCACTAGATTTTCTTCACTCGGAGACGTGGTGGAACGAAGGAAGTGTTCACAAATGGGAGGGATAGGGATTTCATTGGGACTCTCAGTACAATTGAAGAAGTAGTGAAAAAGTCAACGACGCTAATATGGCTTGTTTCCAGGGAGAATTCCAAACCGACACCATCACCTCCTCTTGAACCAGCCGAGAGTGCTGCGCCATTTATTTCAACGTATACTTCGGTAGCCAACATTGATCCAAGCTCTAGTAGTCGTTGTGACGCTAGTCCCTCACCACCAAAGGATCCTCATCCCACACTGGAGGAGGTTTCCAACGCCTCAGCTGCGGTACTGGCTCCGGAGAAGCCACTCAGAGCGGTGGAAACGACTCGACAACAGGACTTTTTCTTGGTGAGAATTCTTTCAAGGAATGGGCCTTTATCTTCGACTCTGAGGGTCTTCCACAAAATTTCTTTCTCTGTGAATTAGTCACTGGCTTTCAGAATCACAGCGCATACGCCGATAGTATGGATGAGTCGAGGTTGCGGAGCGGGAAGACCGACTTGGTATCCATTCGGACAGACTCCTTGAAAGCAGCCAAAAGAAGGTAAGTTTAGACTGCCTTAATTTTGAAACCCGAGAGGCTCATCGGTTTCAGAATCGTCGAATCACATATTACATTCGTCTAACTTTCTTTCTGTCAGGTCATGGGCGGCTTCGGAGGGAACTACGTTGCCCGAAGCGGACACGATCCGCCGGATACTCGAGGAGCAACGGAGAGGCAGAAATCACTTCTTGCCTGAACTGCCGACGGCTCATGAGGAAGTCAAAGTCGGAAATGTTTTGAACCCGCCAGGAAGATCGTAAATCAATTTCTGCCTTCTTTTAGGCCGAAGCTAACGAAGCCGAGAAGGAAAGCTCGTCTGGCTCTGATAGGACTGTAACTACTGATGATGAGTCTGTGGCAAAGAGTGACGACGATATTGAGGTTAGTTTAGAAATATAAAAATTAAATGAGGATTTTGCAACGCGGCATTCCTGATCGGCTTTCTTTCACCGTGAATGATTCACGTTCGCAGTCAAAAGGGCGGCAGATAGTCATTCATTATTTTTTAGTAATGATGATTATAGTAGAGCGGTCAATTTCCTCTTACTCATGCTAGATTAACTTCAAGCTCAATTATACTTTGGCAAAAGCGTCGAAACATTCATGTTCGAGTCATTCTCCGACCAGAACTTTCAGGCTCCCCCAAAGTGTCGATTTTTTGAATTTTTAAAAAGATGTTTTTTCGCATGTCATTTCGACTTCTGGAAGCTTTTCCTAGTGTGGGGGATTTGTCGTTAAAAAGCCAATAATCACCTTTCTGTTCTGGATATCGTGTATGATCGCACGGCTGATTGCATTGATTTTTCCCGAACGCCTAGATATCTATTCCATAGGTTTTCTAATTTCAAATATACGATTACATTTTTATCGATTTTGTGATCATAGCTTCTCTAGAACGTAAAGGTTTTCATGCGCAGTTGCGCTGAACTTAGCTAGTCTCATCATCTTGTTTTATAGTGATCATCACAGAAGTAATGAGCATGTATAACATGAGTAATAACATTGTATAACCGGTAGCTGGCTAATTGATAGCGATGGCAAGGCATTATGTCTAGCTTGAGATGAGATTAGGCAGCTTTTAGGAGGCCTTACATTAAGTCGCTTGAATTCAAGCGCTGCCTGGGAATTCTGGGGATTTCCATTGAGGGAGAAGTGGCAAGATATTTTCTAGAACAGTTTTTATTGAATGTGTTTCAGATGGAAGAGGTGAATCGACGAGTTGTGAAGGGTATTCTGCGTCCACTTGGATTGAAGAAAGAGCGTCGATGCATCGAGTTCGATCCGTTGGCGTTGATGTTGGATGCAGCTCTCGAGGGCGAATTGGATCTGGTGAAATCCAGTGCTGCCAAGGTAAGCTGGTGTAGAGTTTCGAGTAGTTGATGTATTCTTACAGCTATTTTTCGGTCCACAATTTGTAATTGGAGGCCTAAGCTAGGTAGGACATCGGCGCTCTTCCATGTCACTGAAGCCTCATGGCTATGAATTCACGCAGGTGTCGGTTGATAAGTCATAACTAACGAGATTTTGCGCGGGTCGCAATTAACGGAGTTTAAAGGTTTAAAAAGCAATTTGGTTCCACTCACAACTTTCCATTTCTGGTGTGTTTTGGCGAAGGTTGTTCTTTCATATATATTTCGCCAAAACGCAGTCTGAGTCATCGAAAAGGTTAACACAGCGAGAAAGCACAGCGATGGCCTGGTTATCACTCGTTTGAAGATAGACCAGTATTAAAGCAACAGTCCCAGCAGGTTTTTACCTTCGACACTAATGGTGTGGAACGATGCGCTAGCCCTAGTCAAGAACATAAGAAGTGTGACTGAACAAAAAACTCACCTTGGAAAGCCGCTAGAAAGGGAGCTGAACGGCTTCGAAGTGGGCGTGGTTGGAAATCGGCCGAGGGATTGCAGCCGATTTCCAACCACGCCCACTTCGAAGCCGTTCAGCTCCCTTTCTAGCGGCTTTCCAAGGTGAGTTTTTTGTTCAGTCACACTTCTTATGTTCTTGACTAGCGCATCGTTCCACACCATTAGTGTCGAAGGTAAAAACCCTGCTGGGACTGTTGCTTTAAGTTGAGCCATTTCGACATGGCCAATAATCCTTGAACATTCGAACACAGGAAACGATCTTAGAGTGGAAACTTTCACCTCTTCCACTCAATATATGCGAGTTTTAGGATATAACCGCTTTCATTCTACCTTTACGTTCCTATGCTTACCAGCGCCTCAAATAGTAGTCTAACAATGAGTATCGAGTTGCGTAATTCTCTCAACAATTATTGAGATGCCCCCCCCCATCCCATTATTGAATTTGCTCCCCAAACGCAGGGTTAGTCTTACTTCGGCGCCCTGAAGATGTTGCTAGACTTTGATCCACGAATTTACTAGCGACTGGGCGTTTCGCGGCAGATCGTGGTGTGCGAGCGAGGCGCCAGCGAATCAGCCACCAGATTCTGATGCATCTTTCGAATCGCTGGCGCCCCGCTCGTACCCCTCGAATTGCAGCGAATCTGTGGATTTGCTAGGAAATCCGTGTATTCTTTGAGGTCATTCCCCGGCCAAAATGCACACCAGCGCACAGGCTAAGGGTTTGATATTTGTATTGGTGCACGCTCGCTGCGGTATCTGCGTCTCGCTGGGCTGCTACTCTCTTGTCTCCATGTCTGTTCCCGCGTCAGCGTTCAGTGTCTCCTAGACTTTTTTCTCATAATGTGTGTGGCTCGTCTGGCGCACGAAAGAGGCATTCATTTTGAGTGGTTCCGTCGACCTCTTTTCTTTCTCGTCGCTTACGTAAGCCAACACTTCCACACTTCTTCCTTGGGCAACAGCTCAGAAAGGTGACATGATTGGGCCTTAACTATTGACAGCCAAGCAGAACACATGGACTTAAGTCCGCCGCTCGCGTGCGGACTGGCAGCGCACATTGCTTCTACAGTTTTCATCTTTTCTGTTTCCGCTTTTTCCGGTTTATTTGT